ACCGATTTATAACTCGTTTCAGCTGGCAAAAGTGTAAGCGATTGAGTAATGCGATTGACATTTCTACCAGGACTTGGTAATCCGTGTATTTCAGCGTAATTCTCGAGAAAATTCTTCACGGCGGTAGCAATGGTTATATCGATGGTTATCTTGGTTTTTCATCGTGGCACTTTTTTTACATTACCATGAACGCGCGGTATTATACCATTCGTCACTAGGTGATTTCTGATGTTTTCCAAATGAGTGCGACCAATTCCTAATCTGACAGAGGGGCGTATTGTGATCTCAGTAGTAAAACGTTCGCTTATTAGTCCGCATTTTCTTTTTAAGACGCCGGCTGGCAGTTATTTCTCCACCATTCATTGCTTTCAGCTGGGCCATTAAAAATATATCTTGTTCGGATCTAGAGAGGGCTTGAAACGCCTCACGTAATTCGGCAAAATTTTCTTTTGGAATTCGTTTTGAACAACCACGCTTGCAACCTATCTCCAAGAAACGCATGGCTTTTTCATGTTCTGTAAAACTGTTATAATTGTAAATTTCCATATACGGGTAATCCTATATATAATTTTATCATTTTCATGTTCAACTCCATAACGAGTTGATCCGAAATACTAAAGAGCAAAATGTTGCAAATTTTATTCGTGTTTCGCAAGATGCAAAATGTTTTTAATATTAAGTACAACCAATAAAATATTTACATAGTCCTATCATAGTACCCCCCCTAGTATAGTACCACTATCCGATCAAAGTACCACCCCGTGTATAAGTACCCCATGGTATAACAGGGTTTTGTAAAATACACTGGTACTTTAGTCCGTGAAATACGGTATATAGTGCATTATCGAGCGCTCCAGCTATACATTAAATACGGTTTAAATTTTACAAAAATCCATGGTGCATTAAAGTTTAGACAATCTCCATGGATGAAGTATTGAGCAAAGCCAATTTGGCGTGATGTATTACAAGCTAAAAATAATGCCATATTTGGAAAACAAAGGAAAACGTTTGCAAACAAATACTTCGATCAGGATCAGGACAAAAAACTCACTCGTTTAGTAAGTTCACCATTGTTTGTAGGATTCAAGGTGGAATTACAGCTGTCCACATGTTAAAAAGTACGGTATTCTGAATAAGCCGATATTTGTGGGACAAGCGATTCTTGATATTAGCAAGGCTATGATGTATAAAACCTCGCTATGGAGACAAGGCCCGCCTACTTTATACCGATACAGATTCACTAATTATGTGGATCGAAACTGAAGACATTTACAAAGATCGAGGGGGGTACATCGTACTGATGGGGGTACATATCTCTTTAAACTTCTATTGGTTGCGGAATCATGTTCTCGAAATTGTATATTATAATTAACGCGCATTATTAGATACTACTAACACCTGCTGGGCGTATACGAAAACCACCCTACGGTACTCTTGCTCAATGGGTAAGAGATTCATGAAGTTGATATTCATTTGATTTAAGTGTTGTGGTGTTTCAACGGGACAGAGGATGATGTGGTGTTTGATTATGAATTGTTAGATGAGAATGAAAATGATGAAAATTCTGAAGTAATGAATTTCAATAGTATTGACGGTGAAGAATATGAAGAAGTCGGAGGCAGTAATGTCATAGTTTAATAAAATTTGTTGTTAAATTTTGTGTTATCTCTGATCTTAAATTTTAATTGGCTGTTAGAAGGAGGGTACAAATCACAGGGGGGTATATATACCATAACTAATACCGGGGTATAAATCAAAATTTGGCCTTCAAAATTGCCGCAGGGTATAGCTCATTGGGGGGGGGTACTCGTGTCGGAGAAATACGGTACCTGACATTTCGATCTTGAGATTTATTTATTAATTATTAACGAATATTTAATATTATGCGTTGATTTGATTTTTATATATATTATTATTATATAAAGTATAACAGTTAGACAATAAAGTTCTAAATTTAAAAAAAAAAAAAGACATGTCCTGTGTCTAATAAGTATACATGCAAATATAATATATATTCAAGTTATATTATTTAACGTTATATTCCCGTTGCGAGTTTGACAGGTACGTTTTTATTAAACAAATGCTCTTGGGAACGAAAAAATCATTCTCTAATGATCCCAGTGTATTGTTCATGCGATTGATCGCCTCTCGAATTCTTTGTTGATCACTTGGTTTGCAAGAAACAAGAGAGCTCGATGCATACAACAAATGTTATTTCCCACCATCCCTTAAACTTTCTTTCTATTTCGGGAAGGAAAATGGAAAACCTTGCGCTATACTCGATTTCGTTAATTCAGATAAAACGAATGGCATAAGGCTGTGAATAATAACGTATATACAAATTTATCATCACTATTATTGCAGTAAATTGAAATAGATGATGTTGGTATTGCACACTTTTATTTATTTAAAGCAGCAATCACAGCTTTGAATTTGATTGACTACGTACAGTCCCCGTCTCAAAAGTCACGACCACTCCCTTACATTTGCAATTATATTGGCATAACGAGCAATGTAATCACTGTGAAATAATACTGGATTTAGTGCACACTATAGTAATAGTAATTCATACACAAAAAATTGCGAGAACCTATTCGGCCATGTCGAGGGAAACAACGTTTTTGCTTCGAAACATAATTACGTTAAGATCGTATTCCTGTAATTAAGCAAATGCTATTGGAAAGAAATTGGCGGTTTAAATTAGCCAAGTTATTCCTTAGGAGAATGTCCTCCAAGTTATGGACTGGCCCTAACTCGAACCCGATCGAAAACTTGTTAAACTGTAAATTACAAGTTATTCGAGAGTTTGAGTCACTAAATTATAGAACAATGGAACATATTAATATTGTAAATTGACTTCATTTATATCAACGTGTAACCAGATGCTGTCTTCATACCCAAATCGTAGCTATTTCTCGGTTTAGGCAAATCTAGAGCTTACTAGAATATTTACTCTCCTTCTCGAGACGTGAAACGGTTTTACATCATTATGATAAACGGCACTCCATGCGTTGCTGTCAGAATTGCCCCTTTAACAAGCCTGTCAATATCATTATAAAGTGCCCTTGAAATTGGGGGGATATTCAGGTTTTTGAAGAGTAGTTAATAATTTGACCATTGAAAAGTACTCTCCAGAGTCGCAAGTTGTTATTTCAATTTTGCCGACTTATCGAGAATTTTTAAAATCTTGGCCGACATTGCTAACTTATTCAGTGACTCAAAACCATGCCGAAGGTATATTTCGTAAGCACTCCATCGATCTAAAGTCACGTTTTGTTCGACATTTCTGATATTTGCATAAATCGATATTGTGGATGCGGGTTAGCTAAGGTTCTTTCCCACCCTTTTGTCATTGCGCTCGTGCATAATATTTATCCGTGCCTAGACAAACATCAGATTCCTTCAGGCGACAGGCATATTACGCTGTGCGAGTGTTGAGTCAATATGCAATGCTAGTCTATTCCATTACTCAGTCCCAATATCATCTCATAGTAGTTGACTCTCTGCACAGTGTTGAGTATCTCGACTTGGACTAAAAATCACAAATAGAATATCTATGCACTATCTCTTAATACGTGGACACCAATTATGCATGTCTGATTATTGCTAGTGAGCGGATAATGCTTCTCAAGTATATTTAATAATCCTGTCTTTATACTCTCTTCTCTGTGAGGCAAGGGTCCATCCATACTTGGCGACAATTGAGCAGTTAAGCGAGTACACAGAATATCATGTTCTTCGCAGAGTGTATCAATCGAACGCTTGTTTATAAGGTTACGCCGTGCCATAAAAATTATTCATTTATATAATATATATATCGACCGTAGAAGCATCGTATGCCGTGGATGAATGTTCGCAAGCAGGCTTATAAAGACTTTCGGCGGAAAGACTTGCAATAGGTAATAACATTCACACAACATGGCTTTTCTTGTATGAGGATTTTTCGCTCGAAAGAATTCATTCGGGGTGTTCGAATATTTTCATTGTGAATGCTTATGTCGACAAACCTTATTGTGAAATTCCCTAAACTGCTACTGGTTGGTGTAACAAGACGATTAGAATGTAGAGTAGAAAGTCTAAATTTACTGCAAGACAAATGGTTTAAAATTATGCTCTCGATTTTGAGCTGAACAAGGTGTTGACTGTTAATTAGAAAGAATAAATTAAAGACATAATAATTGTTAGGAAGTTGACAACAGCCTGACTGTCGATCAAACTTTGTCCCGTGTTAGAGACTGTCCCGTTTATATATCTAATTCGAGTCATTTTAACAATTGGACGATCGTTGCGTATTTTCATTGTTGTATATCGTATCACAATTCTTATACAACTGCCAATAAACGACCTGTTTAATGCAAGTCAGCCAACAATCTCTATATTGCCTTATTAGTCTTCTCTCTATTCCACTTGATTATCGTTCATTTAACAAAGTTCAATTCCATTAATCTATCTTTACTTGCATTTCACAAAACAAATCTAACAATGAAAAGTATATTATCGGAAATTGTAAAAATCGATGCACATTTACTAAGAACAAAGGTAGACATGCAATCAACACAAAGAAACTATTATTCGCGAAGCAAAACTCTCCCGAAAAAAAAGGGCATTTTATTAAGTCAATTTGCTTCTACATTATCGTTCTTAACATCCAACCCATCAATCTTATTATATCGACCAGCGATATGTGAAATTAAGCGAAAATATATATTAATATATCAAAGTCAATTATACTATTAAGATTTTCCCTGTGAATAATTACAACCCACTACTTTATCAATTCAATAGAGTATCGATAGACATTACATTCAAATTTCTCGTCAATAAACTATTTGCTAATTTTTCCTTTTCTTCCACAGCAACATCTGCGAGTTGCATCAGCGAGTCAATTACGTTGTGCCCGAGTTCCATACGCGTTTTCACTTCCATCTTTACTTTATCAGCAAGAATTTTGTCATTGCAGAGTCCTGTCGATATCCAATTTGATTTCTCGACATACGTATCGGGCGATGATGGTGTATACGGCGGTGTAAGAGGCACATAACAGGGGATTAAATTTACAGCTTGTGAAGGCTCATGGTAGATGCACGAGCTAGTGACACTATGGGCGCTGGGCTTATGATGTACATTGTAAGAATTTGGATAAAGATAAGTTGAAATGTTGTCGCTTGTAGAAAGATTTGGAGTGTATATTGGAGTGGTGGTTGGAGAATGCGTATCCGAAATAACGGGTTGAGCGGGAAAAATAGTCTCCGATGCTGGATTAATTATTGAACGCGGGACGGAATTATTGTACTTGTAGGTATGTCGTTCTAAAGTAACATGAATATTAGATATGCATCGAAAACCGTTAAACGATACAATCTTATTACCTTCTTTGCTTTTATTTTCAACGCCTTTCTTTCTTCTTGTTTCAGCGTCATTACTTCTCTTAAGATGCTTGCCATCTCTTTTAACTTTTCTTACTCCATCTTTTTCACGTACGTGTCCTTCCCTGAATCTGCTCACCTCATTACACCATTTCTTTTCATGTTGCTTTTTCTCCGCACGTTTATACAACTTGGAATAGAATCTATTCTTGACCATATTGGCTGGTCTCTTTAGCCGCTTACCCATTTCCGCCCATTTGGTATTGAATTCTTTGTACATTGCTAAGATTTTCAAATCCTCCTCAGGCGAAATAGGCGTATACAAAACTTGGAAAGGAAAACAAGGAGAGTGAGAACGATTGGACAAGATGGTAAAAAAAAGAATTTTTGTGCTTACGTTGTGGGTCCAAGTGGTTGGTCCAACTGAAAGGGCGAGAGGAAGCGAGAAATCTTTTAATATTTATTTGTTTACGTGAAATGTATTAAGCACAATAGTCTCCTTTATATTTACCGTTCTCGACATTGCTTGCCATCTCTCCAGCCGTGTTGTATACCAATATGTTTCCAATTCTTTACTCCTAATGTACTTACAAGGTGTTGCAATTTTTGGTCTTCCTATGAAAGAAATAACGTTCAATTAATTCGTTACCAGATTAATGTTTATGACAGCTGACGCTAATACCAACAATAACTCATAGCCGTTGTACTTGGGCTTGTTACGCGCTCGTTGCCACTCGCCTACGCTTATCTAGTTGTTTGTCCTAATACACGCGAATACTCACTTTTAGCTCCCATGATCCTGTACGACGGGTATTAGTGGATGCTTCGAGCATTATATCTTGCTTAAAAGAGATTTGACAGGTATTAGTGGATGTTTCGAGCATTATAACTTGTTTATTGCGTGTGTGAGTGTGCGAGAGTGTGAGTGAGTAAAAAGTGCTATTATTGGACTTGTTTGGGTTTCGCCGTTTGATATGGGTTACAAGTCAAGTAAAAATGTCGGACTATAAGTTGATAAGTCGGGGGAGGAAGGGGGGGGGGTATATATGCAACACTTCACGGACAGAATTGGTTGCCGATGATGTAATCGAGTAATCGTGTCTGGTTGAGAGATTATGGTTTACATTAAAGAAAATCCACTATTATTACAGTTATGGTGAGATACATACGATCTAGTAGAAATAAAGAATTTTAATGCAGCGCGACAAATTCTGTGATGTGATACGTGAGAGAAAAAAAATTTATTGAGCTAATTCGTTGTCTTGAAAAAACCAGGGAATGTTTGATCTTCTTTCTTGTTACATCAAAATCCAAAAGAAGCCAAGGCTCGTCCGCGTTATTTACCAAAACCTTTAGTACAATAGCTACCAAGTAAGTGGATAAAGTTCAGCCGACTTTTCTAAAGACAATATATTAATGGGCAAAATTACAATGGTTCATTATTCGTATTCTATTTGCTGATATAAACGTACGTAAATAAGACATCCGTCTGTAAAGTATTATATGTATGTCATTATTGTTTATTTCCTCTTTGATGCATGCTCATAAACCCCAGGGCGTTGCTATTGTTGCTGTTTCTGGTATATTCGCCTTCAAATGTTTGGATTGCATTGACATTTACAAGGGGGACTAATAATAAAGAGTATTGGAATGCAGGAACAGGAGTAGGGCAGGAAGCAGGAGCAGCAAGTAAGAGTAGTATATATTAATATTGTGTATACTGAAAGATCGCCATCTTATACAAGGGTTTAATCGGTAAAGCAGAGTAGAATATCTCACAATATGCATTTGGTTAGGGTCTGGATCATATTGCTCGAACAAGACTATCGCATTTATTTTCGAATTAAGTTGCAATAATGGTGCGCGATAATAATAAATACGATGTTTCAATTGGGTGTAATATCCATATATATATGTGTATGTATGTATATATGTATGTATGTATATATTTATGTGTTAATAATGTCTAATGTACGTTATAATATACGTATTAATGATTAGTAAGAAAGCTGCACCGAGCCTATTTACATGAGAAAGAGACGATTAGAAACGGGGATAGGCACGGCACAATATATCAAGTTGGGTTTCTTACCGTAACAATGCTCACAAGACTCAATCTCGTATTTAATTCTGATCCGTTCGGTAAACGTCGTAACTCACGTCGACTTGATAACTTTGATCAGTTTGATTGTCTTGATTGTCTTGATTGTCTTGATTGTTTTGGTTGTTTTGATTTTCTTGGTATTCTTGGGCAGCAGCACAGAACATTCTATTTACCGATCAATTGTGACGGTTGCATTAGACCCTAGATTGGTATGGCCATAGTGTACATGATATTATATGGGATTGCCTTACTTGAGCATTTTCTTCAACCCTTTTTTAACTTTCTTCGACGTAGACTTTTCCTTTTTCTTTCCGTGTTTGTCCTTCTTATCAGACATGCTTGCTCAATATGAAATTAGGTAAAAATAATTTGTGCGAAAAGTATATGATGGGAATAATGAAGTTATGGAGTTACTGGTCTTTGAAAAAGGGGTTTATATAATAAGGATTTTACAAAATTCGCTCTCTAATGGGCAATAAGGCTATTCAATTTGTATCACGCTATAGCTATATAATTACAATTGAGGAACCAGACACAATACCTTATGATCAACTCTTGACCTATCGCGGGCAAAAAGGATTAACACGACAGATAGCATAATGTAGTACGATTCCTCAGAAATTAGTCTTGAAAAGGTCTGTCATTACGATTTCTACAAAAGTATCGACCGCAATTGGATTGAATTGACGAGAATCGGTTTTGGGCTTAGACAGTTGTCTGTCATTGATGGCCGAAGTTGGAACTCTGTTCGGTTATAATACAAACTTGATGGTATTATGTGTGATTGATTACACAGGAAAGTCCATATATTCGTAATGTGCACAAAATATTATGGTGTAACTCGAAAAGTATACTAGATTAATTGCATATAATAATAACTGCGTGCCGGGCTCAAAAATTTTTATTATTTTTTTTTCATGATGCATATTTATCCCACAGGCATTCGCGGGCCGGAAATATTGGCGCAGAAGATTTTGTTCTTGCAGATATTTTATATTCTTTATTAGGCTTACGTTATATCAACTTGTGAAAATTGTTCCTGAATGGTTCAACTAGCCATTGAGTACTACTAAAAATAGGAAAAAGCCTTAACCAAATTAAGTGGAAAGCCTTTATCAAATTTAGTGAACAGGTGTGACAACTTGTCAATGCATGTAAAGCACTATAACATCGTATACCATGTATGTCAACTCATTCACTAATCAGTCTCTTTTGAAGTGTCTTCCATCGGATTAGACACGCATTGGCATTTCTATTGGGCACTTTCTTACTGACTTCTGTCCACGGTGGAGTACCCATATGAGAGAGGATAGCCTCGATCAAAAGTTTGTCTTCTGCGGCTGTCCACATAATCCTCGTAGAATTGGTTCCGGCTGGCCTGCCACGCTTTCGTTTTGTTGGTGGTTTCCCCTGCAAATAATAATAAACAACAATTAACGCTTATATACTAAATACGACAGTAAAACATAATGGCAATCTTTACTTTTATGCCGATATCAGTAACCCTTTCTTGTTTAGCACAGTCGTCATACTCGTTCTGGACAACAAGCCTTCCTTCGCCCCTTTGCTGCGTACTTGTCCCGGGATCAGCAAAAATTGTGACAGATTCCGTATTGACGTTTGTTTTACCCGAGGTTTTACCCGAGGTTTTACGCGACATTCTTTTACGACTTTTTGCTGCGACCGTAGAATAGCATGAAATAGAATAGACAGCCTCGGTATTTATAACCATCAAGAAAGCCTATTACTTAAATTATGATTATGATAAGAGTTCAATCATATTAATTGTACAATCAATGTATCTGAATTACGCTCTGAATCGGACGTCTAAACCCCCACACATGAGTCACATCTATATTTATTTCACTATAGCATCAATGTCACCATCACATGCAAGGCAAGATTACAATTATTCACAGAACAATTCATAAACCTGCCCCTATTCTTTTTTTATGCCAGTCTCCGCTGCCTTGACATGTATTCTATGTTTATTCACTTCTCCACTCTTGTTCATTTCCTCATTCTTCTTTTTTATCTTTTCTAATATCTGCTGTCGAGCTCTCTTGATTTCTGTCGCAAGTCCAGGTGTATCATCAAATGCTTTCGCAATACTGTCTATTAAATTCTCGTCAATAATTTGAGTTTTGATCTTAGTCGAGCTGTAAATTTTATTGAGAACATCCGAGTCAGTAGGTGAGAGACGCGAGGTATCGAGAATATAACGAAGGTGTTGGGCGCCTTTGTACGCTGAGGTAATCGCAAAGATCGAGGAGAATAAAAAAGGGTGAAACGTGTTTAAAAAAAAAATCATAGCGTCATGAATTTAGAATATTAATCGTCAATTCAAATAGCGACATATTTTCTCACCTTTGTAATGGCTATATAAGCGAAATAAGTTGTAGAATAGTGGTATATTTGGTATAATGGGCACTATTGTAAAGCAACACGCCAATGGCACCCACAGGGCAGAATAAATCATATACTTTCGATGATAAGGCAAGCGGTTTGTGACCAACTGATCAAGACTCATTGCAGCCTCATTTGATGATGTCACAGTCGAAGGGTAAATAAAGGGAATCTACGCAATAGAAAAAGATAGCGAGCACTTTATAAGACATTATACGTCCTTACGTCCATTAGGAACACGTCCAGTATAACGCAACGAAACTTACTATCTGATAATAGCAGTTCTCTAACGGCCCCCTCCCGTTCTTCTCACACACAGCTTACCAACTCTTTGCTTCTCAGCTCAACTTTTCTTTCCATAATGGGCACGCCCTTGAGGAAGCTCTCTTGATAATCGGTCTTATCCAACAATTGTTGTCCAATAACATATAGTCGCACTTTCCAACGACTTTTCTTAACGTCTTTAAGAGATTCCCATTTTTTAGCCGTGTAAGATGTTATTTTGGCAAGATATGATTGTCGAGTCAAAATGTGTTGGCAATAGAATGCGGTTTTATTACTAAAGAGAGGAATACAAAATAAACGCATTTGTGAGAAAAATTATCAAGATGAGATGACTAAAGCGAGTATTTTGAGTGACGTCATGAGATTAAAAGTATGTGGAACAGTGTTTGTTATAAGTCACTTTGTGAATAAAAGTTCCTCGCGATAGTTATAAGTCACTTTGCAATACTTTTATTTTTATAGGTGGTGATTATAAAATGACAGAAACTTCTCTATTCTTCGGAAAGCAAACTTGTAATAGCAATGATTGAAAAGTAACCATCTTGCATCTTCCTGCTCTAATTGATTGAAGAATTCCAGACATACAATTCAGAAATATCATGCGCTAAACGGGTTCAAAATTAGCAGTATTCCCATGGCCAATGTTATAGACCGCTCGCCTTTATAAAGTTAGCTTTATACTAACACGAATTCGAATAAATCTGCGGGCTGCATTTCTCAACGACGAGATACTGACTCGTCAGCAAAAATCTCTTATAACCAACCTAAATAAAGACCTCTCTTATAACCAACGACTTTCAACAATAGTATGTTAATCTACGGGAAAGTTTCTTGACTTTTGGATATGTGTTAACATTTTAATATCAACAAGCAACGATTTTTAGGGTATAATTCCGATCGTAAGCCGTAATTTGCTTCCTAAAGGTCTTGACTATGATAGCAATAGTTACAAGTAACCTGGTTCCTACATATGCACTCTGGAAAGTTCGCACCAATATATTTCATTCTCCAATCCCAGTAGCATTTTTAGCGAAAAAAGTTATCTGATAAAAGTGTAGTCATAGAGCCGTACAATCTATTATGCTCAAAGCAAGTTTAGAAGTATTAGCAACTAAGTCGCCATACAGTCTATAATAAAGTTTTCTTATTCTCTACGTATTATTAGTCAGGTGAATATGCTTCAATATAGACCAATTACATAATGTAATCTTATGCTGTAATTTTTTCGATTTTTCGATGTTTTTGAACTTTGAGTATGGCTCGGTCTTTTTAAATTGCAAGACTTATAACATTACCAATAGACCTGTTTACATATACATTTAATTGAGAGTATTAGAGTCCAACCAATTTAAAGACTTCAGTCTATTCATATTAAAACTTACCAATAAGCAAAGTAATGGATCAATTGTAATAGAACCTTAGCGTTGTGAAGCCAATCCTTAAAAATGCATTCCGATGTAAGTGCCACTTTTAAGATAACCAACAGAATCTTTGTAAAGAATTATTGTATCGCGCTTGGAGACTAGTTGCCTATCAATCAACAATTGTTTGCACACAAAGGTATTCTTTGTTTTAAACAATGTCTTTGGACGCGATAAAGTAAGTACTTGTGTCTTGTGTTACGCTGCATAAAAGAGCATATACAAAAACATACATCAAAATACAACCAGTTATCTTTGATCTGCGATAACTTTTCATAGATTTTCATGTGTGTGACATAGATACTGTCACTTCATCTGACAGGGCCAAATATATCACAAAAATCGTTGTGAATTACATAGTAAATACGTACAGTAGAGCTCTTTGAAGAGATTTGGCCTGCGATAGGTGAGTGTAACGTCATAATTTATGTTATTTGCCGCAGTTTTTGTAATATTATGTGGCGCATATTAATATCTTGGCATGCATGACAAAGGCAATTGATCACTGCATGCTATTGACATGTTTTGCAACATATTTGGTGTAACAATCATTCTAGTCACGGCTCGAATGTGGTGAAGTACAGCACCGACGTTTAAGGTTTGACGAAGAAACAATATTAATCTCCATCCAATGCAACTGTATATTTGTTTCCCTTTTTTTTTTTTTTTTAGTATGAAAAAAAAAAACAACTGCTACAATCCATGCAAAATAGGTATTATTAGAACATTTAACCCCATTGCTATTATACTTTGTCTTGTGATTTTCAACCCGAATAGTAGCCGGTAGTTCTGCTCCGAAGATGCAGCTTTCGAAATTCTTAGAGAAATTCGATATCGAAGTTCACTAAGCTGTTATTGGGTGGTGTTTCTATTTGTTCACGTTTGATTGGTCAACCCACTTTGCAAAGCAGGTAGACTATACCATTTAGGGTATAGACTATACCATTTAGGGTATAGACTATACCATACAGGGTCAACACGTGCATATATATACACTACTATTAAAGTATAAAATATTCGGGAATGAATGCCCCATTTAATTATTGAAAAGTGAAAAAACAAGTTGCTCAGAAAGACATTGTTCACTCATGTCTTCAACTCCGAGTGGTTGCGTAGCGTAAAACCGAGCAGTGACATTTTAATATTAATTATGTAAGATTTATATGTATATATATGCACAATACATTCAATACAATTGCCGCGGAAAATTTGCATTCATCCCATAATTGTATAAATACATGGACATGTTTTATATATATAGACATGCGAGGTATTTGTGTGGTTTGCCGACGATAAGTATCCCTAAACATGTCACTAGCACCACCATCTTACTCGTCCGAAACCAAATCCCAGCCATTGTTTGCCTCGGAATATTGTCTTTCCCCAGAATCACAAGTCGATGACAGTTACTTCAGTCATACTGCGCCGTCTTCACCCCGACTTGTAATAACGAATAGCAACGATGATGAGGATAATAGCATGAAAAAGTATGATGATGTTTCGTTAAAGAGTCAATATCCATGCCATCGGTCAATTGAGACATTTAATGATTCAATTGTGTGATCTCTGTATGTATGTTAGACAATTACCATCAGATGACGTTTTTCTTAACGAGGAATACAGAAATAGGGAAGAAGAAGAGGATGATAACCAAGACGAAGGAGAGGACGATGGGGAAGAAGACGAAGACAGTATGACAAAGGTATATATCCCTTGCCTATAGACAGACGATTAATTTATAATTAACCAATAATCGAACCCATTCCCCAGGTGGAAGAGGAGGAGTATCAAGAGTCTAGCCATAAAGACCATGAGATACGAACTGCATTCCAGCAGAAATGTTATGATTTCTTTGAAAGACCCAAAAGTCGAAGTGCTCGAGTGTTCTTCGCTTTCTCTGCAGCATGTATTGTTATCACTGTGGTTATGATTTGTGTTGATTCATTGCCCAAGTATGCCCTTCTTGATTGGTCTCAATATCACCGCATGTGGTAAGTTGAATCGGGATCCTCGTTTGCCCGTCTATTGTTGAGCATCAAATGTCGATCCATTTTCTCATCAAACATTTATTGTAGGTTACCTCTTGATACGCTTGTTATTGTGACATTCACCGCAGAATATGTTGGGCGATTCTTTGCTGCAACAAACAAACTGAAATTTGTCATCAGTAAGTCGACCTTTTGTCACGAATACGCGGAAGTTATATAATATCCGACTTAAACACAATATGTTTATTATCTTACAGGGCCAATGAATGTGATTGATCTACTCTCAATTCTTCCATTCTATATCCAATTAGTTATGCCAGGAGGACCAGAAGTTAGTTTAATAATCAATAACCAACCCTACATTATGTATGATAGATAGTACCCGACGCGTTCTCCTTATAAATTAATTGTAATGTGTTATTGACATCAATCCTATGTTAATTTAGGCCGCCTTTCGATTTGTAAGAGTTTTACGACTTTTCAGAATATTGCGTCTGTTTGACTTTGCCAAACGTTCTGTCGGATTTAAGGTGAATACTTGCAATGTTGTTTATGTTCAATTATACTCTTACCTAACCTTCTACGCACATCTCATCAGGTTACGACAAGAGTAATCAAACGCTCGCTTATCCAAATCTTTATGGTGTCATTCTGGTTCTTCATCGTCCTCCTCCTTTCATCTAGTTTAATGTACTTTTTGGAAAGAGGACAAATTGATGAAGAAAAACAAGTCTGGTTCAGAATGAATCCAAATAGTGGTCAACTGGAAATAAGCCCGTTTCAATCAATAATACACGCATTCTACTGGTCTATTGTCACACTGACAACAACTGGTTATGGTGATGTAACTCCGTACAGCGCATGGGGCAAAGTCTTGGCGGCTGCTACAATGATATGCGGGATATTGGTTATTGCAATGCCAACGTCAATCATCGGGTCAAACTTTGTTGCCGAATGGACGTTACATCAACGCGCCCAATTCTTGGCTAAGTTAAGAAAGACTCGCCAGCAGGCAGAGCACCCAAAAACTGCAATTTCATGGCAGAACAAATTCCTTCGAAAGCAAAACCGGGAATTGATAGAAGCAATCACAGAAGTACAAGAAAAATTAGCAGACGTAAATCCACCTCAATATTATCAACGATACAAGAAAATTCGCAAACAATATGCGGCCGCACTAAAGAAAATAGCCCAGTTAGAAGCATCACTAGAAAAATGTAAGAATTCTACTTGCAATCACGAACACGATACCGATAATAGCGAAAAGAAGTCTAGTGATCCGCAGAAAAGCTGGTTGTCAATTTATGGATTGCGTAATATATCTCGCAGGTCATTCACCATGCCAAACGATACAGGGATTGATCAAAGGCTGAATGAGAAAACGGTTACTGACGAAACTTTGAGAAATGACACGTACGAGTCGAAGGGTAAGGCAAATACTGATGGTAACAAGCGTAAGATATTCAAACAATCAATGTCTCTCGGTTATCCCGATAATTGGATATCGCCAAAGCGCGGAATGGCCAAGGATGTCGTCAGCTCTCCATTCAACCCACGTCCAGCTAAACCTCAAGTTATCTCGGACGCAAACGATAATAATGATGAAATGTCGAACACGACCTTTCACTCTCTACCAGACGAAGTGCGTCTACCAACTCTTCAAAGATACAGTGATCCGAACAAGTCGACCGCAGGCAGAAAGGGATTAATGGATTTATTTAAAAAAAGGAAAGACAGCACGCTTTCTACTAAAGGGGGAAGCGCGAACGTGGAAGCGGCCATCATAGACATAAATACGAACAGAATGCAAACGGTAGATGGGGATGTCGATAGGAATGATGACGAAAGGGAGAACGTTATCGAGGAACAGTCCGTTGTTAATGATAGAGAGACTATGTCTGAGAAGATCGGCACAGATGAATATAGTTTTAGTTGCGATACTAATACCAATGACAATGCAGAGATCAAAATTGTTATAGAGTGTCCACAAGATGAAATCGATAATGATAAAGATGATCAGAATATCAATGAGGAAGAACACATGCCCATCAAACGAACAAATTAAGTAATTGACCACACTAGGCTTATTCTTCACCAACAGGATAGTTTCGTGCTTATTCTTTACTTACGTACATAATCAAATTGTGTTCTGAATCACCGATGAAACTGGCATCAGCGGTCCAGGACAAGATATGAGTCAAACGGGGGAGATTATGTTATCAGGGAAGATCGAAGTTAAAAAAAGAACGGATGATGGGAATTTGACACTACATCAGCGTGTAAAATATAAACTTTGTTCGAGGGAAAAAAAGGGGGGAATATAAAAACAATAGATATTTTGTATTATAGAAAAAGAATGGGAATTATTCTCTGAAAAACTAACCCTAATGAGGAAAGAATGTATTTAATTAACACACAAGAATAAAGAATGTAGATTTTCAAACTCTACTCTGTCATCAACCAGTAAATTATACAGTATATATTTCATTCAATGTTAGTGTCATATTACTATTCCTTATTCCATTTATTTAGACCTTTTTAGGCCAATAAGTTTAGTCACTTTGAAACAGCGGGATTATATCTCGAAGGCAAATTCTAGTGTCGCCGCTTGCATTAGCCGCTGAGGGCAATGCTCCTTTGAGAATCTGACTAGCATAGACAAACGGTCAGTTACTGCATACATTGCGGAAGTTGGTGCTTCACAGAATATATAGTTTGCATTTTTTATTATTGTTGTGAATCTGACTGAAACGGACTGCATGATTTTATAATAGACCGAATTGACATCTTACGTGCCTTGGATAGAACATACGTATATTAACATTCAATTATTGTGACAGATTAAACGAAAAAATGTCCATTGCAATAGTAACCTTTTCCCCCTTGTGTATACACGGCAACAAGCATTTCAAGTTATCTTTTTATGCCATTCATTGGCGTAAACCAACACAAAGCAGCTTCTGTTTCATTTTAATCAGATTTCGCTTTAACCTTTAACGTTATTAATATTAAAATTAAATGTATGTACAACATTTTTGTGCCGTGCAATCCAAATTTGGCAACAGAATGGTTGCACATTAGAATGACGCGACGGAGAACACGATATGAGTACCTCGAGTATTTCCCTAAATCACAAAAACATGTCTCTAGTGAAAGATCAAGACACTTCTTCACAAGAAAACGTATTCCTGAAGCTGACACAAGATGCTGGCTTTCGAATATGTCCTGACGGATCGATGAAACTTGGTGGGTAATTGTCTTCATTTTAATGTCCTTTTCTGTACAGCTTTTGTCATAAACTCTCTTAACAAATTTGTTTGAAAACGCGCGATAGTCGTTGAGCCTGCCGTTTATCGTCGTGAGTTAGCACAAAGATTACGAGCTCATTCGGAATATCCGTCTCCGCTAGTTGAAAGATTCTGTGACGCCTTCCAGAACTACGTGGAGGATCCTACTGTTCTGCGTGCTTGTTTATTGCCATTACCCATTGACACTTCTGGAAGAACGTATGCCATCTATTTTACTTTTGTCTACAAGAGTTGTTTCTTTTACGATTTTTTTTTCTTATCCCAACCCGCCGTCTCTTAGCCGACATTCTCCGACCGAGAGTTTAGTCCGTCTACTACTGACAATTGACATTCTACAACCACTTCTGCTGGATATGCTCCTGGAAAGACTCCCGGAATTTCTCGCCGAGTATGTAAATTCTATTAATTTATAGAATTGTCAGAAATTCCTCACAATTATGAATATTTTCTATTGGCCAATAGCTCCGTAGAATCACCACTACCACGTCTTATTCTACATCAGATGAAATGGCTTGATCATATCGTTGAATCTCAACGACTTGCTTCTAAGATTACAGAGGTATATGAAGAGAAAACCATAGTTAATTACGTGTTTAGACAGCGTCATTTTAACGGATAGTCTTTATTTAGATAATTACAGTGACTCCACTTGGAATACAGAAGGAAATTATAACAAGTCTACCAGAGATTATTAGTGACGCTAAGCAAGTTGTATGTATAAAAAACATTTATACGCTAATGAAATTTTCATATTGAAAGAATGCATGCTAATATGTTCGGCTTGATTTAAACAGGATATCGGTAAAGAATTGAAGGATTTAATGGAAGAAAACTGTCAACTGACGGTTCCTATACTCGATGCCCTTGCTAATTTCACATTGACCGATGACTTGTTGCGTGATGTGCGAGAAACAATCATCGATCGGCTAGAGTCCGCAGATATTGAGGATTTACCTGTTGTCATCAAATTTATTCTGCAAACGGCAACAGGAAATGACGCCGAAAGAGTATTTATTCATGATTTGAATGGAATGTATATTTTACCAGTCCCGCAGAGATTTCCAACTAATTGGCGTGGGTCATATTTACTTAGATTATTGAAAACATCAGACAGAAACTGGACTTTCGCTCTATTATGCAATTACGACGTGTTGATATAGATGATAAATCGCGTTCAGTAGTGCCTAAGAAAGAAAGAATTCCGGAAGCGTTGATACTGGAATCATTGAGGATCGGCATCCAATTTCATAAATTCATTAAAGACGCGTGGATCAAAACGATTACCGATGTTGACAAGGCGGTAAGGGCGAAAGTAACAACCCTTCTTCTAATAATATTATTCAACTATGTCTGATATTCTTGAACGTACTCAATGTGTTTAATTTGTAGGCTGATCATAAGGTTATTGATATCGTGGTACTTATTATTATACACTCTATACCAAGTATGAGGAGGAAAATCCAAACCATCTTCCGGAAGAAAACTGCCAATGGTTTATTCTCGAAACTGCTTTTACAAGAGACTATTTTATGCCATGCAGATGGTTTGAAAGAATACTTTAATTCCATTCTCTCGTTATCGGAGAGTCTTCTTAGATCAAGCCAGCAGCAGAGTGTCATTGCACCCATCGCTTGTGCATTGTATCTGAGCTCTTTCAAAGCCTTTGACGCATATCATCGACAAGAAGTTGTAGGGTCATTGGTTACTCATATTGGAAGTGGCTCACAGACGGAGGTTAATTCGGCTATGTCTGTATTGTTGCACATAGTAAGAGAAGATACGCAAAAAATGAGCCGATTTACGATATTTATAAAAGGAATACTAGATTATCTAGATAATTTGACCATTGACCAAATTCAAATTCTGTTCGAGATACTAAGTAACCTGGCATTAGAGGCAAGTTTTCTACTTAACAATCGACTTAGCTATCTGCTCTTCCTTTTTAACCATGATAGTTTTTATCATTCCTGCATTTTAGGACGCCAATCAAGGCTTAGGTTCTGGTGGCTTACTCGCGGAGATTTCCATAGTCGTTCAAAAACAGTTGACAAATCCTGCCGAGAGGTATAAGCAGATAGGCGTCGTTGGTGCTTTAGCTCTTGTGCAAACTCTGGGATCTAAGGACGCTCCTAGAAACCTTAATGGCGCATCTTCCTCTTGTTCTGGTAATTAACCAAACTCTTATTGCCGTTACTCGGATATATACGTGTCTCACATAGAACAACTTTCATAGATTCCAATATCCAAGAAATAACGCAAGTTCCTCTGTTAAAGTCTGCCGTTGAAAACTTGGAAAAGCTACGAATACATTGTTCTCGATCAATGGTATGTCACTACTATGGAACTTATGTGTGCAATTCTTAGTTTGACATGTACTTATTCTCATGCCACCTGGTCAAGAAATGTCTTTCTTTGGCGTACGATGAGCTTGCATATCTTATTGCAAGTGGATGCTTAGACGAACGTCTTGTAATGTGGATTAAAGAGAAGTTTGCCCCATTTGCAGACATTTATTTGTGCGATGCAGATGACGCTGGTAACTTGCAGACCAGCGCTGCTCATTTAGATGGACTACCCATTGAAATATGGATGCATTTGGACGAACCGGTGAGATAATACGCGTACATGATCCTCAATTTGCAACGTGATTGACTCGATACGTTACTATTAATATCGCTCATTATCTACTAGGACTCTGTGTTTGTCAATTTGTACCCTTTTCTCTGTGCCCCGCTTGTTAGTTCAGATGTACATGCTTCCAGTAGACGTGATTGGATTATTTGCATGTGTTCTATGTTTAAATTAATTCAGGCTTGTGAGAAAGCCAATAATAACGGACAGCTGGAGAGCATTGATGCTTTGTTAGGCTGTGGTTTGTTAATGTATGAGAGAAAGGCAGAGATATGGGTAAGTACGCAAAGCGATATATCAGGAACTCTTTCTTAGTAAATTAGCAATCACAATAATTTACAATAGTCTTGTGTTTGAACGGTTAATTATTCGGATGTATTAGGATACGAAGGAGACAGAAACGAAGACTGCAAATATAATTGCATGTGACGCGCTATTCTTCGCAATTAATTGGTATTACAATTCAGTCTATAATTGATGACTGGTCGAGCCGTATCCAACTATGCTAAGTACGGTTTACATTCTGTAACAGGTATAGGGAAATCATAAACGCTTTCTGCGGACAGCTTATTGATGACTATTGTGGTGAGTTTGAAATATCTTTGCTTTTCAGTGGCTATGGATTGACTTGAACGATTGACCAAAGGTATAAATTTGTTAGAAAAGATAATTCTACGTCTTCGCCACATTACCGAATTAGAAGGTTTACTTGATAAATTGATGGATTCTGTGCCATCATTTCAACCGCTTGGATACGGACAATTACAGAAAACCAATGATGCGGAGCATCGAATTCTTGTTTTAAACGAAACAGAGTCGCAGCGAACGCTTGGACGGACTCGTCGAACAAAGATGAGAGGGGCTAACACAAAGAGCATGCGATCCAATGATAAGGTCAATGAAAGCCAAGACAAATCTACAAATGACATTTTAGCTGGCAAACCAGTCACTCTCGCAGACATTAAACCGTATATGCGCGAATTTGGACTTGACGTATACAGTTTACTACAATATTGTGAATTGAACTTGCATACTGAGGCGGCAGAGGGAGATGTTGAGCAAAAGTGTAAGACTACTAATTTACAGGACAAGAACGTTAAGTTGAGAGCACAGGAAATGATCTATCTCCTCGACGACTTGATACGTAAACTGGAATTCAAACTTACCTCTTCGGAATCACCTGCAGGTATAAAGAAATCGAAGAGACTTAATATTGAAGCAAAAGATATGGGATTTTCATCCATTGCGCGTGTAAATGCGATAGACGTTGTCAATGCAGTAATTGGTATATTGCCTCATATTTTGCGCCATATTGAGTCTGTACACAACTTTTTGGATCCACAATCAGACAATGTCATTGACGAAGAAGAATCTACCACGATAAACCGGTGCTCTGAGCTTCTGCTAGACGTCCTTAGGCGGATAATTATGTGGCTAGAATTAAGAAGCTCGGATAACGAGGATTGTCTGTTAAATCTGCTGAAATGTATTGCCTTTTCATCTCATTCATCAATTCCAACCGAGACGCTGCAATTGAACAATTTGGCTCAGAATGCATTTGATCAGATGCAGAAATACGCGTACAGAATTCCGACATTAAAAGCCGCTATATTACTGCATAAGATTCTCAGTAGTATAGCTGACATAGGAAAGGGCTGTAATGAATTAAGGAATAAATGCGGAGAAATAGCTCGACATTTACTCTCGCGCTCTTGGACGGACGATAAAGAGTTGAAAGCAGAATTTATTATATATTTAATTCAAATGGATGTTAAACATTCGGCAGATGTAGTAACGAGAATAGAAAATTACGCGACTACTGTCATTCCTGCTTTCATTGAGAGTAATGCTGATATCCTTGTAGCGAATCCTTTGTTGAATAGAGATACTTTTGCTCATTTCTATAAAGCAATTTTACTTGAGGTCGACGAGGTGCTTGATGCGTATAATCCTATTAACTTTGAATCAGAAGGAGAAACCGTGAGATTTTTCTTCAGGATGACCAGCTGTTGGAAGAGCTTGATTTCTGTTATTAAGATCAACCAAAAGCGCGCCGTGTTGTCGGTTGTTCTGAAGTATGGAGGACGATATGTTGACTTATTTGTAAAGAAGGTCTTACCTTTTATGGATAAGAACTTCAAATTGCATCGCGACGATGTCTTGAAAATTTTCAAAGATTTTCAGAACGGGACCCGGGTTATTCAGGTATTCAGAGCATTGACTCATTGGTCTTGGTATTATAACGCTGATCAATAGATTGCTGACTGGTTTGTGACATGGTCCTATACTATCTGTATTTATGTTTGGCAATACACTTTTGTTATTAGGCCCTTTGCTCTCATGTCAAGGTTGTGAAAGATACGACATTAGCATCTCTTGTTCCGAAAGTCAAAAGATCACTCGAAACTGTTATATTTCAGGTGAAAGGTATGTTACTTCATAATGATTGTCCATCGGATGCATTCTTCATGGGCAATCTTAAACATCGTGATCTCGAGGGACGAGAGGTATCAGCAAATATGCCAAGGGAGGAAGATGACAAGGAGAATGAAGATACTGACACACATGACGATTGTGATACGGGAAGTGATGCTGATGTTAGTGATAAAGACGAACAATGTGTAAATAATGGAGTCACAAATGACGATAATGAAGGAAGAGAGCCAGATGCAGAATCAAACGTTTTACAAGAGACGCGTCCGAACAATAAGGCTGTTTCGATAAAAGAATTGCCTCAAAAGGTATCGAAAAAGAAATCACGTGGACAGATTTCTTACTCGAAAAAATCTGCTAAAGCACAATCACCTTCTGCATACCAATATTCGGACGAAGAAGAAACGGAAAGTATTGTATATGATGATGTAGATTTGAGCGACGATGAGGAACGTGATGCTAGTGATGACAGCGGTGATTTTAGTGACGATGGTGGTGTAGCAATGTTCATTGATGATGAAGCAGATGTAGATGGTGACGAAGAAGACAATAATAGTTTAGAAGCTTCACCGAAAAGGAAAGTGTCTAGAAAATCATCGCTATCCAAGCAGTCTAAAAGACTTCGTAAATAGCCTTTACTCAGATATATTCAACTCTGCAAGGAACCATGATAATGTCTTTATCTGATGAAGGCTAATTGATTAATTAATGTGATGCTTGGATCACGAGACGTGGTGTATACCTTCGTAAATTGTCTATGTTACGTTAGCTGACAATGTAAATTGTAGTGATAGAAATATTCGGCCAAATAATCTCGAACCATTAAATTACTTTCCTCCCCTCTGTACACCAAATAAGTGCTCTATGCATACAAAAAATGATTTAGCAGTAGTGTATAATAAAAGTATTTGCAAATGCTATGAACATTGACAGAATGAACGATCCCTTGTGTTTCGGAGACAGTAAAAATTATTACAAGAATTATATATGAGAACAATAATGATGAAACAAATCGATGAACGAAATGAACAAAAATCAAGCTGAAATTATCAATAAATTTCAATCTCAAGCTGAGTAGATAATTCAATGGTCAGCCAAAGCAAGAAAATGGTGAGTTAAAGATATATAATATAAGCAAAAACCAAATTCTTGCTATCTGTTATCAAAAGGATACAAATAGGAATGCAGTCCGTTGTGGATTACGGAAATTAAGTCCCTGGGGATTATATACACTCTGATTTTCTCCATCTAGAAATTTACAAATATCCTCTATTGTCTATGTGATATCCAATATCGTGTTAGCATATTAGTTTTCACCAAGAATAAGCAATTCAACGTCAATCTACTAAGCCTGTCCATATAAAAATCACCAACAATGACTCACCCGCTCATAATGTGATTTTATACACAGAGTCGAAGCATATAACGTAAGACAAGACAGAAGGTTATCAAACCAGTTGTATTTAGGATTATGTGCTTTTTCTAGCATCCGGTTCAATGTGCTTATTGTAGACTCGAATTGGTGGGGCGAAACCTAAAGAAAGCGAAAGCCGAGACACAATTAGGACACAACGGACATGTTCCAGTCACCCTATTAAATGATAATTCTTAACGGAATAATGTAATCCAGAATTCTACCAATATGGCCCCGGTTGCCACATGTGCAGTTGGTAAAGATCGTAATACTTTATAACACCGACTACTCACTCGTCCGTTTATCTTGTCTGGGAAGGTCAGATTAAACTGACATAACTCTCCCTTGGAATAATCCCTCTCTACACGAATAATTTGCTTAGGCAAAAGACCTGCTGAAGTAGCCCTGCTCGAAGGAGCTGCTGCTATTGTCTCTGGGTCAAGAAAAGTATATCTACCCACGTTATCACCCTCAACTAAACGTAAAGCAACCATGCCATCTTCAGCTATCTCTGATATATGGGTAGGGTCTACATCTGGGTCAGAGTATTGAGCAGATGCGAAGGGTATTCGAGTAAGCGGCGTTTTAGGAGAAGTTGGTATTGAAGAGCTATCTTTTAAGGACATGTTGAATAAGGGTGAAGGAAAGGGAAAAGAGAGGAGGTTTTACGTGGGTAAACTAGGAGGATTGCTCGTAGAGCCAAGAGTAGCGAGAGATCCATCGTAAGCAAACGTCATTATTTGATGCGCTGTGCAACAACAAATTCACACGAAATGAAATTTCTAATACAGTAGGTTACAAACAATTCGATCCCATAGTGGGCACAGGTTATAACGACACCAAAAATTTTCATATCATTATAAAAAAAGTCCTATTTTATTTTGCCTTTATGGGTTTACGAGAAACCTTGTCTGTTACTTACTAATAATAAATCCTCAGAACTGTTAAAATTTATAACAATCGTAACGTCGAATATCTTCACCATAGTGAGTGTTGATCTTCGTACCACGGCGATCATAAATTTTGTGCATTGTGAGGTGTCTTATACAAGTTCGACATAGCGAATCTGGTAACTGAGCACGAGATTGCTGCATAGATTCGTTTGAATCTCACCCAATATGGATAATGAAACCCTATAAAAAGTTTACTGATTCTTAATTTTCAGTTTAATCAATGCGTACCAGCATTTGCTAAAACGCCTGTATTGCTCATCTCATCAATTTAACAATCTATTATTCACCCAGCTGTTTACAGTCGAGTTATGTTACTGTCGGAACCAGACAAGTTCTCATCTTTATTTAATATTATGCGCAGAATATCGGCTTTATTTGCAAAAGGATTTAATACGTTTCACGCGTACTCCCCATACTCCCCACTCGTACCAGTGCCTCAGATTCTAACTTTGGCAGTTTGTTTTTATATAATTAGCACAAACTTTCGCCAACTGCTTTCCCTCGTATTTGTCAGCATACTCCTTGATATTCTTGACGTTTGTGCGCGTTAAATAACGTGACAGTCTACATTCCACTATATCACGTAAATCAATTAATTCGTAATAATTGGATGCCCATAGAAGATCTAAATATAATCGCACCCGTTCGCTCTCTTCGGCAGCAATCCGCTTCGAATGGATCGCAACATCTATCATGTTTCCATATAGAAAACTCAGAAATACCTCGAACGATCGTGGCTCCATTTCCGAAATTTTATGAACAGCTGGGTCAGACGGAGTGGACTCTTTGAAGCGAGTATTTGAGAGAGATTTTTTGAACACTCCTCCGTTAGCTGCTAGCACATATCTATTAGCATAAAATTTTTCGCCTTTGACATCAAAGACAGTATCGTGTACATCCGGGAGTTCCGAGAGAAGGTTCAAAATGCCGGCGAGAAATGCACTCGTCTGCTTGTCTTCGGGTTCGGGAAGGTGTTCCAGTCGTACATTTTTGACTCCCGCAGCTTTAAGTAATTCCGGATATGGTTGAAGGATTTCTTTTATGAAATCATTTTCTTGTTTCGTTGCCCCGAACTTCAATTGTGAATACGATTTCCAGTTCTTACGGTCGAATGGATCTTCATCCTCATTTATATTTAAAAAAATAGTACCTGCCATTTTCAGCCATCTCCCAATGGTCGAATCGCTATATTGAACAGTTTTATCCAGGACTTCGTAGATCTTTCTAACAATACGATATGTGTCTCTCCGGTCTACCAATTCATTCAGTTTAACAGAAATTTGTTTCAAATGCCTTAGAACATTTTCGGCCGTTGGCGCCCCAATGTGAGGATATTTTCTCGTTATTTCTCCTTTTGGAATGATATTATAGTCGATAATTGGTAGCTGTGTCCATGTAATATCACTGTACTCTGGCAGACAGAGTTTTTTGAATGCTCCAAATCCACTAGGAGGCATAGGGCAACAATTTTGTCTCCGACCATTTACCATAACTGGTACAACGGGGACGAATTCAATCAATTCGAGGCATGCCCACTGCTCATCATTGAAGCTCAAGCAGGAGAAATTATTATACAAAAAGTTCAAAGCAACGAATGCAGGACCACGAAGATGAATGGTGGATTCGTTCTCAAACTCGGTCGTCCATTTCACTTGCTCGGCAATGTACTCAGCACACTTGATAAAATTGTTTGTGTCAACCGATGTATTGACACCAATTTTCTGTAGATTTTGCATAGAGGCGTTATTCCCTTTGAAGCTTGTACTTATCAACTTATCTGGTGCATTACCAAAGACTATACGAAATAGTTCTACATTCCCGTGATAAAGATTCGATGGTTTAACCAGATTGCCTTCTTGGTTTGGAATCGTTTTTCTGTTTCTTAGGTACTCAAGGATCGAATCATCATTTAATCTTAATATGGATTCTAAGAACCGTACATATTCGTCGAGGTCTGCATCAAGAGCATGTTCGATTATTCCACCTCTTACTAGATAATCATAGGCGCTAATAGAGCTGGCACCCAGAGCGCGTAGAATATTATGGTCCCTCTGATCCTCAGTTGTAAATATTTTTGGATATCGAGGAGAAGAGTACTGAAATATGTTCTTTTCGAGGATAATATTACCTTCGGAAGGGGTCACAAACACCTTTTCGCTAGACTGAGTTCGTATTGGCCATATACGAAGATTCTTAAGAAGTGTTTCATATACGGTTTTCTCACAACATATCTCAGACCAATAACGTCGAATAAATGCTTTCAAAGCACCAACCTCTGGGGGGGACCAAAGTTTTAAGAAATCCTTTGGTCTGTTTTGAGCTAACCAAACTTTCTGCAATATCATAAGTACGTTCACGGCCGACCATTCGTATATATACTGACTCACTTCGCTATTGTCCGTGTAAGATGATCTATCTGTAAACAGAACGCCTAGCTTACTTAATGCAATTGGCAGCTTATTATCCGCAGTTAATTGGCTCACGAGGACAGGAATCTGCCTTTCCAGCGGGACTAGACATGAATGGCCGGAAATATCCAGGATAGGATAGTTTTTAAACATGGACACGTTTACATTGGATTCAATCAACAACTCCCATATTCTGTCGAGACATGATTTTGTCAACCATGTCTTGCCTGGAGCCCCTTTGTCGGGATTCCATTCATTGATTATTGAACGAGGTAGATGTCTCTGCAGATACAAGTATACCGCATTCCCATTAAACTGCCTCACGCTTGTCCAATCTTGAAAATCATCCATTTGATCACGAATGACGTCATCATAAAGCGCGTTAGCTGTATCAACAAGTCGAGACTCATCAAAGTTAGGAAATAGTTCTAAATCATCCTCTGACGCAATATAATAATGCAGTAAATCTGTCGAGCTGCCAAATTCGGCCATGGTACCATCTTTCAAAGGTAATAGTTGAATACCAGATAAGTCCTGATATCCTTCGTCTTCTACCATGAACTGGAGAATATCGCAGCATTCGTCTTGGTCTAAGAAGCTAGCCAACGGTTTGTTTCTCAATTTATCCCTTGCTCTTTCATTTGTAACTAGATGCTGTTTCTTTAGTTTCCCTATTTTCTTTAAATTTTCGATCTTGTTGTAAGGTAAGTACACTGCAAGATCACCATAACGCACGAAGGCTTTTGTGACAGCTGCATCATCACAGAAAATACTTTCCTCAATGGAGACCCATTTACCATTTGATCTGAAAAATGGATAGTCGAGTGGAAGTTCTTTCAAAACGTTCTCGCCGTATTTCTTAAAGAGTTCATGGCTGGACAATGGCCAACACACTTCAATTGGACATTCACCATCATTTCGAGCTTCAAATTCTTTGCGGCTGTTTAGTGCTTTCAAGAGTTCCACGTGCACTTTTGGTAACACATCCCAAAGTATGTGTCTATTCCAACCCAATTTCGCGCTATCTGTATCAGACTGTTTAGCATTTGTCAACAGAATGCTCATTCGATCCGACGATGTTTCCCACAAGCCATGGATATGGACAGACATTCCAGTCTTTATCGGTAACGGAAAGTAGCAAAATATGTTGCCCTCTTCCTTACGATCTAAGCGAACGGCAACGCCCCCAGAAGACATCTTCCTATTATAATTCATTAGTTTTTTTAATTCGGTCTGGCATCCAATGGAGCAGTGATAATTAGCGGTCGTAGGTTTTTTATAAGGATAGCCGCTGGTCACTTCAATCGATAAAGGGTACTGACGATATCCGTATTCAGTGCTACTACGCATCCTCTGAATTGATTCATCCATGTTTACGATTCTTGCTTTCCACATTAATTTGGGCGACGGGGTATCTTCCGTAACGCCTGCATCAATTGTTAACACCTCGAATTCCTCAACGTTCCTTAAAAATAGTAGATACTTCTGGGCATTCCCTTTCATGCTTTCCAAGGATTTGCGAAGATCTTCCGGTGTGATCCGAAGTTGTTTAATCTTGCTTTTTTTCACGAGTTCTTCAGAGCGTAATGGTAATCGAAAAAGCGTGCCTTTGGATTCGTCACAAGTGTAATTCTTTATACGAAGGTACGGCGCAGCTTGAGCAGGATAGTGGTTGCAAAAATCTGCATCAAACTTGTACCGTACACCAGCACGGCGCCCACGTCCTGCTGATGGGAGAAAGTCTCTGTGGGGGTCAAAGAAAGCGATATAACCACCACTCACAACAGAAGGGACATCCGTGATGTTATAGCACGTATTGAATCCTTATAAAATTTCAATATGGCGAGTAAGATATTTGCCTTGATATAAAAGCCAAATTGCGAAGTTATAGAATTGAAATGTGACTAACCTATGCCAAATCTCCCAATTCTAGTCTCATCATCACGTTTGCCACCCTCGCCAAGTTTCTGTAAACCTTCAAAATCACGTTGTTCAAAACTGGCATCATTAAAAATCAGTAGGGCTGGTCCTTGCCAGGGTGCCATTGTCGCAAAATCCCCAGTCTCGCCTCGGTGACAACGTTCATCGATTATTACACTATATCTGCGAGCTCCTGCATCGTCGGCATTTTGTAAAAATTCGCGGAAAATATGTTCCCATGCATAGTCCTAGAGTATTAAAAGGTTTAGTTTGCGTATTAGTATGAAGATTAACGTATAATTAGCCAAGTTAACAATGGACATACATACACTTATAGCCGTCTTGATGGTATTAATTAGGGTTGGTGTTTGTTCGAAAATCTCAGGACTAATAGAAGCCATTATTAGTATTTCGCTAAGTATTCTGGTCCTGAATAACCGAAGAAATTTGGTGGCGTGTTGCTGATTTTTCGATTATGAGGTAAAACCCGCCATTATTCACCCAAAATATCCATTTGGCGTAAATTGCTCGATTTGGTACACTTATCACTGTTTCCTGAAAGAAGGAATGAACATTCCGAAATGACAATGCTGGGTTGTAAACCTTAGTAGAGTTTCAGCCCCTTCAGCACTTGTTAGTGAGATATGACTCTGGTGTAAAACATAATAATAAGGGTAGATAATTGAGTAGTTTGTTGGGTATGATGAAACTTGCCGTTGTATGACCAATGAGTTATTTCGGAGTTTGCAATCCAAAACACATATATTGCTAAATTTATCCATTGGGGCGTAATAACGTTTGTTATTATTATCTTCAGCGTCTGATAACGAATCAACTTTATCTTTCGTGCCTTTGTTGAGCACGCATGTGTTTGGTTAAAGTGGGACTTGAAACAATAACAATATCTATCTTAAAATACGAATAAATCCTTATCAGTACAAAACCCCTATTAACTCATTTTCTACGAATCAACTTCATTTTATTATTCTTCGTGCCTTTGTTGAGCACGTATTTCAGCTATTAACTCATTTTCTACTGAGCAAATTAGTAAACATACCGCCGATCTGAATAGTATTCGCATCGTTATCGCTAAGAGTGCACACAGAAGAAAAGGAAACGAGTCTAACGAATTACTTAAAAATTGAATGCAGATATTGTCACGGTATCTACATTAATTGTTTTTAGAAATAGAAGTCGGTGCATTCTGTAAATAGAATAGATTATAATCAACATCCGTTTGGCAGAGGAAAAACTGTAAGATGTGACAAGAACTTGGCGATCAATACATAATACAATGATAGCGATGACAACTTTAAATTCGTACAGTTCGACCCCAAATGTATCATTATAATTCTCTGTAAAAAGGAATAACCATCTTTATAATACAATTTTTATTCTATTACAACGTCAACATAATAAATTCGCTACGCTCTCTTTGACTGTCGTCGGGAATTCTTTCCTCTCCAACAACTCGGCAACTCTTTTAGCTTCTCTCACTTTCCCATTTTTCACATATGCTTTAACCATCACTTCATAAGTACTAGGCTCTCTTAATACAGTACCCTTCTCTTTATGATCGGTATCCTTCATTGCCAAGAAGATAGCCTCGGCCTTTTCCCAATGTCCGACATCACCATACCCACGAATAAACAGATTCTCGATATATGGGGTGGTATGCACTTTATCATCCTCCAACATTCTACGACGATAATCTTCAGCCTGACCTAGACGTTGATGTTCAATCAAGGATTCGAAAAGTGCTTGATAAGCACTTTCATCTGGTCGGAGTTTGTGCTCGGTGAAAATTGATTCAAATGTGTCGATTGCACTTTCAATATTGTTCTGTTTCATGCCGTATGCATATATGAGTGATGCGAAATGAGTTGGAGCTGGATAAACTTCTTCCTTACGCATTTGGTCAAACAGTGTCATAGCTGATTGCATGTCATATGGTTCAATTGCAGCATATGCATCAATCAATAATTTCCATGTATGTTCAGTTGGACGCATGCCTCTTGCTTTCAATTGATCAAAATAGTATAATGCTTTAGAACGGTCCTGTAGATCCCAGGTATAGAATTGAATCATTGAGTTGTATGGGCCTATTCTGGCTTGGACATTGGGTGATGTTTCCATCTCTTTAAATAATTGTACTGCATGTTCTTCTGATCTCACTCGTATACAAGCAGTGATCAAAGCACCATATGTAATAGCATTTGGTTGAATGCCATTGGATTTCATGTCTTTGTATATTTCCCATACATAATCTGACTTGCGAGCTTTACCCACTTTGCTGATGAGGACATTATAGAAATAGAGATTGAGTTTAACATTAAATTGTTTGGCTTCTTTGTACATATTAATAGCTATGTCTGCCTCATCGAATACTTTGTCACTCTCAGCTAACAAGAGACTTGCATATGCATTAGAATCAAGTGCCTGTCCATTCTCGAGTACTTGATAATAGAGGGATAGAGCCTCTTCTATGTTACCAACTGTTGCATATGATATGACCATGTTATTGCGTGCCAAATAAATAGCATGATTTTTGAGTGAATTGTTCCATACGTTAGCCACTTCTAATGCTATGTCAAATAGTTCCTTCGATCTCTCAATGTTTTTGGCCTTCCCTACATTTCGAATAGCATGCCCCATAACCTCTGGGGTTGGATACACACTCCCTGCAATCATGTCCCTAACTTTTTTTACCACCAGAGCAGAATCCACAGTTGTAGTCTGGCAACACAAATGATATAGCTTGTCTGACTCTCTAATCTCTTCAGCAGTGGGCCACCTAATTGAGTCAGTGCTAGTTAATGCAGCCCAATTTTGAGCGACTTCCGGGCCACAAGTTTGGAGAAGATGTTGATGGATCTTATCACTGAGTTTCCGAGTGGGCAATGCATTATGCAACTTGGAGTCTTCAAGTATGCTAAATATTCTCTTTGTGAATGTCTCAGCAGTAGTAGGAGTATGTTCATCATGTGTTTGCCCAATAGCTGCTTTGAATAGGAGACCATACTCTCTCTTGGATAGTGGAGGCGGGCCATATTGATCTTTTGTGTATATATATTTATCGAGAAGGGCATTGTTCATTGCATGGCTGAATCGGAAATTTCTACGAGCATGATGCATTGAGCTGTTGGCTGTGTTGTAAGATGTGTTTGTACTTGTATTTGCATATATTATCATTAAGGCTAATGCATCTTCAAGTGTTATCCTAGAGTCATTTAGTAAAGAGTCGGCAATTAAATTCAATTTGCTTAATGTATAACCTAACCCTCTGCATAGTACCAATTGTATCATGTTATCAAATATCTTCAATGCGGCAACATTCCTTCCCGAATCAATAAGTCCAGATACGACATGTTCAATAAGCGGTATGTCTGGTACCATATTATCCTTAATAGCTCTGTCAATCAGATCACATACTCTGTCAGGATCATTCTCAATCGATGCGTATATATATGCTGCAAGTTCATTATAACGAGGTATTATATCTGCCTTCACCATCTTCTCATACACCTCAGTTGCTTCTTTGTATTTATCAGCAAGCGAATAATGGAACAACAGCGTCTCGTGTATCGCTCGATTAGGTAACGGTAGACACTCCTCCATACTCATTTTGCCATACCACTCATGCGCAACATCGTAATACCCTTTTTTGCACAATTCCTTAATCAAGTGATAATAATTAGTAACATTAGAAGCGACATTATTCTCGGGCATCCTCTTCTCGATCACGTCAATCGCCTCGCTTATTTCACCGTTCTTAACATATGCAGCAATGAGAGCACAGTACAGAAAATTAGGGTCATGTTGAGGTAATCGTTGTACGATGGTTTCGTATTCCCGTAGACAATCCGACGCACTTCCCGTATCGCCAATCATCCCATATGCTTGAATCAACGAAGCATACGTAGAAGCCGATGGTTGCATCTGCTGTGCTTCGATATACTGAAATACGACTAATGCCTCAACCGTCCTTCCATTCACAGCCAAAGCATGGAGAAGACTATTGCATGTCTCAAGATCATAATGGACATTATTTCGAATACGAGTGGATTCAAATATACTCATTGCGTGATCTAAATTGCCCTCGGATCGAAGAGATTCGAGTCGTTTGTAAAATTCGTCATCGAATTTGGATGTCTTCCATGGAAGATTCTCTAATGTTTCCAAGAGGAAATTAACTTCGACATCACGCTTAGATAGACCGCGCACTGTTACCATGTATGTGAAGTTATCGGGTACGATTCCCATGTTCAGCATTTCTGTGTATACTTCCAGCAACCGAAATGATTTATGTCCAACTGAGCGAAGTGAGGCGTGGGCATCGAGTACCAAGTTATAAGTATATGTAGTAAGCGCAACGCCTTCTGATTTCATTCGGTTGAATTCGCGCTCTACACCAATAAGATCTCCTTCTCGTTTGAGCGCAAGAATTCTGCTGTTATATTCGCCAGTAGAACGCACCTGAGTAGATGCATCTATAGCAACATTTCCAGATCGATAGCCCGTATGCGCAAACGAGTTGAACGTAGAATAATTATGTCGAAGTGCCTCAACTTTGAAGTCTTGTTGCTGTCGCTGTTCCAGTTGCTGCTGATTGTTGTGTTGAGAGTTGCTGCTTGTTGTTGAAGTTGTGTAATGTGTTTGCACTATACGTGCAGCATGTATCTTGCTCGAAGCTGTTCGATTAGTGAAGCCATGGTGACTGACCGTTGATTTTGCTCCAAAGTTTCCATGGATAAACGATCTTGTATTTTGCCTTGCGATTGCTGCAAGAGCAGTACTTGCTTTGATATGAGACATAAGTACTAATAATGGGGAGTATAGATTGATGTTTGAATGTTTGTTAGAAATTTACAAATATGCAACTTCCTCTCAGCGATCATATCTGGTTTTTAAATGAAAAATTATCAGGAGATTATTTAAGATCACGACATTCAGTTGAGATAGCAAAAGATTTAATTTAAGTGATGCACGCCGATCATACGATTCTATTTCCCGTGTGACGCATTGTTTGTCAATCGAAAACTTCCGTTGACACATTATTAGGATAAGCGTTTATTGGCTGTTGTATGCAAAGCTTTCGGAATGAGGAATACAAACTTGTAGCATGACACGGACATGTGAGATAGAAAGTACATCCGCACCAATTTTGATGAAAATAATTTAATTCTATTCGCTCTATGATGTCACGTCATTTTAACCAATGCTCAAGTTAATCAGCACATGGTTTTGTTTCATTATCGTTTAGCCTGGGCAAGCCCAATCACTGATTCATCCAAGTTGAAGTAAGCATAATTATTTTTTAAGAAAGTATCGCCCACGAGGAATGACTAGTAGAACAAATAACAAGTTTTTAGCGATCAACAACTTTTATCACTAAACGTAAATATTATAACTCTGGACTTACCAACTCGCCACCAATGTCTAGGGGAAGAATAGCGCTGGCACACAATCCTTGTCCCGCCTCAATAACCAAATCGGCGCCTGGCACGGTGAAAGCTGTAGTTCCGAAAGTAAACGTCATGTCTGGCGGCGTTGCTTTGCATGGTAAAATATACGCCTGTGCTTGGGGCGAGAAAGTACCGCCTAACACTTTGTTAATCTTATCTGCTATAGTGGTCGGGGCAGTAATAAGTGATGTCCCCGTATCTATAACAGTAAGGCCAGTTCTTAATGTGAGTGGGATTGAAAGGGTGCCGACAGATATTTGGCTTAATGAGACTACCCAAACCCCAGTAATATCGAACTTGCTGGCGAGAGGAATCATAGTCAGACTGCCGACTATGTGAGAAGAATCGAACCCGCCGAAAGTAACTTCTCCTGAACCGCCCTCGCTTGCTTTGCCTAACCATACACCGAATGAGCGCACATTTATAAAACCTTGATTTTTCATGGTTTCAATTGGTGTTATCGTCCCTGGAAGGTATATCTATTGTAAGTATATACTAACTCTTGAATCGGCATAAGAGAGAATGAATATCTTCGAGACTGGCATATTCGTAATTACTCACCCGGAATAACGGCCCTCTGAGTTCCGCCTAATCCTATAATCCCATCTGCCTGTAGGTCTTGGAAGCCAGAATTCATGCCCGTTGCCCTCGCAAAGACTTGATCTGTTAATGCGAAGCCACCAACTATTACTGTATCAGTTGCTGTTACTCCTGATGCACCCGACTGATCTACGTAAGAAATTTGCCAAGGATCACGGTCACCACCATACGAGATGGAGTAATTGGAAGAAAATTTGTTCTTGTTAACGCATCCTGCTCCAATACACGAGGCGTCGGGTATCCATAAATCGGATGAGCCAGTATCTATTAGCACATGAAATACTCTGGGTGGTGTTCCTATTGTAATAGTTGCTTTATACTGGCGAATAATGTAAGATATGAGATCAGGATAATATTCTTTAAAATTGACGAGCGACGTTGACTAGTGGATTATAAGGACGTCAATAAACTGTGTCTATTACTCACAAGGACGTCCTGCTCACTAATTAAGCCTGTCGATGAAATGTCTCGTTTGAATTTATTATTACTGAATTTAGACCTATTTAGAATTCTTCTAAAATTTAACCTAATAAAAGAAAGTTTTTTATCGTAATCTTTCACTGGCTTTGCATACGATACTTTTCATAGAGATTCATTCTATCCTCGTACCTCGGGAGGTCGTCAGCGTCTACGTCACAAAAATTCACACTAAAGATTGCAAAGGCCAGCAGCGTCAAAAGTAATATTCCTCTCATTTCTCTTTAACGCAAAGAAAAATACGAAAGCCTGCATACCATAGTCTTACGATGCTGGTTGTAGAAAAGCGATTCAAGGGAGTTATTAATAATTCGCGTAACAAGGATGCAGGGTACAAACCAAATTAATCGACTCAATGAGATTGCCATGGATGATCGACAAGATGCATTAATACAGTTGTATACCAGGCGTCTTTGTCGAGTTAACTCAAAATAAAATGATCTATCTGCATAGTAGACTGAGGGCATTGTGTCAAATACGTTCAGGTTAAGATCTGATGGTTTAATGTTTTAATATACTACTATCTAACAGGAAACTAGCAAGGTATGGGTAACATCTATTCTAATTAACAATACCATAACAATAAGCTCCAAATTTGTCGCAGAACACCAATATTAATATAGCAATATCCTGGGGCAAAAAAAGCCAATTTAATGATACACAATGTGTTCTTACTACCATTATTATTGTTTTTGTTCGGCCGTAAGTAATATTTCCCTTCTTTTCTATCCTATCGTTTAGCCTGGGCAAGTCCGATAGCTGACCCATCCATGTCGAAGTAGGCATAATTGTTCTTTAAGAAAGTATCGCCCAGAAGAAATGACTAATACAATAAACAAATGGTAATAGTTAGGTATGAAGTGCTAAAAGATCGACAACAAACTGTTAAAACGGTTAACTCACGCCTATTGCTATGAACTTACCAAACCGCCGCCAAGGTCGCCTGGAATAATAGCGCTCTCACATTGTCCTTGTTGTTGAATAACCAAATCGGCACCTGGGACGGTAAAAGTTGCAGTTCCGAAAGTAAACGTCAAATCCGGCGGTGCCGCGTTGCATGGTAAAATATACGCCTGTGCTTGGGACGAGAAAACACCACCGAATGATGTGTTAATCTGATCCGCTATAGCGCTCGGAGCAAGAATAACTGATGTTCCGGTATCTACAATAGCAAGGCCGTTCGCTGATGTAAGTGTAATTTCCCGGCCGCTAATAGCTATTTTGCTTAATTGGACTACCCATATCCCAATACTGTCGAAGCTTCGGACGAGAGGAATCGTAGTTAGATTGCCAACTATGTGAGAAGGATCGGCCCCGCCGAAACTAATTTCTCCTGAACCGCCCTCGGTTGCTTTGCCTAACCATACACCGAATGAGCGCGTATTTATAAAACCTTGATTTTTCATGTTTTGAATTGGTGTTACTGTTCCTGGAACAACAGCAGACTGAGGTCCGGCCAATCCTATAATTCCATCCGACGGCTGGCCTGTGAAGCCAGAATTCATGCTCGTTGCCCTCGCAAATTGTTGACCTTTTAATACGAAGCCGCCAACTATTACTGTATCAGTTGCTGTTACTCCTGATGCAGACGACTGATCGACATAAGAAATATTCCAAGGAACACCGTCACCCCCATACGAAATGGAGAATTTGGAAGAAAATGTGTTCTTGTTAGAGCATCCTGCTCCAACACACGAGGCGTCGGGTATCCATAAATCGGATGAGCCAGTATCTATTTGACAGCTAAATACTGTGGGTGGTGTTCCTATTGTAACAATTGCTATATACTAGCGAATAATAAGCAGAAATATCAGGATAATGTATTTTAAAATTTACGAGTGATCGTTGAAAAAAGGATTATAATGATGTCGATAGGCCATCAAGCTATTTATTCACTTACAATAAAGTCCTTCACATCTATTAAGCCTGATGCATTCCTTCGCTTGAGCCTTCGACTATTGGCATTAGACTTGATTCGTATTCTTTTAAATGATAAGCTTGAAAAACAAGTCGTTTATTAGTCTAATTTCTCTCCAGCCATAAAAGAATATTCATAAAGTTTTTCAGTTCATCCACTCGCTTACATCGGTAGGTTTTTGCCATCGTCGGCCTGTACATCAAATATATTCGCACTAGCAATTAAAAAGATCGAAAACAAAGTCAAGAATCTCATTTTCTGTTCAAAGCAAAGTAAGATTCAAAAGCTTTTATACCCCGCAGTTTTGATGTCTTGGCAAATGTGACCATTGCAATGGCAAATCCCGTACCTTATTTAATAGGAAGTTCATTAAGTTTAGTCAGACAAAGGACTCATCTGCCAGAAATTTGTGCCAAGACATTTTTAGTTTTCTGTTAATATTAAAACCATTATAAGACTACGTACAATCGTGGATCCCGGCTAATCAATGCATATTGTCTGAATGATTATTGTCACAATATATTTACCCCTAGTATCAAAATGTGATACTCTCCTTTTGGATGCGACATGCGAACATTACTAATTTAGTCACACAAGTGGGTCCGCAGCTGCGGCGTATAACACCATACTAAACTCGTCATTAATATGAATGGGGTAATCACTAAATGTGTGCTTAATGATTTTACCTTATTTGGTTGTTGGATCTTTGCTTACCTAATTTGTATGCCGAGAGATCCTCGGCTGTAAAAAAGTTAATCTTGAGAATAAGTTGAAGATACTATTACAAAGGAATAATTAATGACCAAATGTGACCGGATATTAAGCAATACTTGACGTCTTGACCCCCACATTAAAATTTTTTTTTTTCCACAATGCAATCGCTGTTATTATTACCAAACACTTGATTACATTGATTACACGCTTATAATCCCCTGGCGTTTGGCTCGACTCTTTATACTCAAAATGTGAACGTTGTATAATTGTATTAACAAGACTTAAGCTCATAAATCATACCCTTGAAACGCAACAATGACGAGTCTAAATGCAGACTAGCTCGATCTCAAATTGAAATCTGGGACACCTTCACCGTATATATTGAACTCAATGTGCTTGGCAGCAGGCAGATCTTCCCTTGATCCCCTGACTGTAGGAAAAATCATTGACGTTCAACAGCAAAAATACTAAGCAAAAATTTTAATAAGCTGTTTGAAATCATGTGACCCTGCTAGCAAATGAAAAGTGTAGTATAGGTAGACAGTTTAATTTCTACCGCTGCTGATGACATTATATTACTTGTATGTTTCATTAAAATACCTAATTGCGTGACGTATATTTGGTATTGTGTAAACAAACAGTACATAATTTTTACTTCAAAAAAGTCCGGTAAACAAAGATGAAGGTATGCCGAATATTAATTGATTGACAAATTACGACTTCTCGAGAGACTAACAAACAATATAAATAGAACGTTAACCTAATGGCTGAGTCAAACTTGGGCGGTCTCGAACAGCGAAAATCACAAACATTTCATAGAATGGTAGCTAATCTTGCTTTAAGACTCAAAACTTGTATGAAGTTGAATCTCAACGTATTCGAATTTGTTTTATTTATGGCATATTCTCACTCTTAGCAAATAGTTAATGTAATCGCCAGAAAAACTTGCATTAGGCATGTACAAGATTACAATGCGGCGATACTTGTTATAGAGAGTGACGAGAGTTAAACATATTGTACGAGTCGGTAACGTTAATTTTTTTAATAATACTCGTTTTATATACAATTACGGATATTAATATGGTGGCAAATTAAACCAAAGTGTTCTTTGGTAAAACATATGATTCGAGCTAAACTAAAAAATATATATGCTCAATTTCAATACGTTAAATCCAGCAGTCCCTCTTGCAGCGAGAAAACTATCTTTGATTCTATTTCAAGTCAGCCGGCTTTCGCCGCGGAGTCAATTCGTGTCCTGCCCTTCCCAAATTCCTAGGCCCGGGTGCCCTCCGCTCGCGTCGATAAAACTCATACGAAATAAATTTCGATGCCAATAGACGTTGATTAAACAAAACCGTTTTTAACCAACTTGAGAAAGCAATATAACACTGATATCTATATGCATTGCGTTTACACTTTTTCTTCCAATGCCAAGTTTTTGAGTGTGTTTCGACATGACATGACATAGTTGGAACCCAAAACGAAGCTTTGCAAATTACTTATCTACTTGATAGTTCGAATTTGAAAACTATCAACATCTGCGAAAACTTGTTGAGCATTGTTTCGAGAGCGTATGCAAACAACAATGTGCGAGCGCTTGGCTAAATTCTGACTGATTTATTAAAGAACAATTCAGTAATTATTCTCAGTATTTTATATGTAATAACCAATGTATCTTGTATAATTCTAATGCTATTCTTTTAGCACACAACGCATATGTAGTAATAATGCCTAAAACTACCTATCAAAAAAAATTGATAAACGTATTATCAAAAATGTGGATTGAGTCATATAACGGTTACAAGCGAGACGATTAAATTTCATCTTTTGGTAATTAAGTTGCCATGACATGGCGCTGCTACAAACAAGCAATTTATATACAGTGTGTCTCGAAAAACAATGGTGGTTTGCAAATAAACTTTTATTTGACTCATAAATAAAAAAAGCGAGTATGTCTACAGAGTGTGGAGATTACTATTGATTATGACATATTCCTCCCTAACTACAACTGTGGATGTCTCGATTTTTTGATCATGCGTTGTCCAAAAGTGATACAGCATGCAATACAATAATAGTAGTAGCAATCAGTAACTAAATTTAGGAAGTACAGCCGAACATCGCGTAGCAATAGTATGGATAGGAAGTATCAAGAGATTGAAAATTTAATAGAAATTATTATAATCGTGATTCTAAAATCGAGAAGTATCGTGAAGAAATTGAAAAACGAAGACCTTTTTAAACTTTATAGAAATAAAAGTCATATTAATTAACGTTCTGACCACCCAATTCAAAATAGGCACATTATCTAAATATCACACCAATAAGCGACATCTAATCAACATTGTTTACATGATTAAAATGTGCTCATTTCGACATTTCGAATTGGGTCAGGTCAGAACATTATTAATGAACAAAAACTTTTTTGTTTTAGTGTCATTTCAGTAATTAGTGGCATTTGTCTCAGTTGCTGAAGCCCAACAACTTCAAGCTGAATCAACTCAACAACTTTTATTCTTAATTGGATTATTTGTTGTTGAAGTTGCCAATGTTGGAGTCAAATTTCTCCACCATCTTCTTTATTTCTCCAACACAGTATCTGGGGTTGAGTGGATAACCTGGTTTCAACAAATGAAACTAATTTCGAAACAATATTATCCGCATTTATTGTAATAATTGTGAAAGATGATATTAAAACTAACATCATTCACTCCATCCCCAAATTTAGGAACAACTGGAACTCCAATAGGGCACCCTGCGAGCACTCCCTCTAATTCTCTAACAACTCCAGACTCATTGAATATTAGATGGTAATTAATATTAGTTATCGTTTTTTTTACTAACGCTAATAGACTTATTAATATATATTAGTATTTACCGACTCCTCTTCCGTGATTTTTGTATTGTATAATGAATAATACTCTTTTATAAATTCCGATGTCAACTCCCCCATCCACTTCATCTCCTGGATCGAAATTAATAATAAACGAAAAGAAAATAAATTTTATGAGTAGTCATGTTGTCATCGTTAAAAAACATAGTAATATACGCGTACAGTGGACTCTTCCTAAGTGCAGGTCGTCGGGACCGAGGTCAATGCCTGCACTTAGAGAGAAAACTGCATTTAGGGAGAACCAGTAATATTGAATTCACGTGGATATTTGTATATTTGATACTATATAATAATATAATAAAATAATAAAATAATAAAATAAATCAACAAACAACAGACGTAAATACTAATGCTGCAGTGGTAAATACTCAAAACCCGTTTACTGAGATTCTTTATTAAAAGTAAGACTGTTAGAGTTGAAAAACAATTCGAGGTTAGTCTGCTGAAGCGACGTAACTTGCAGATTTCTCACTATTTTGGTGATTTTTGAAATTGTGCCAATATATTCTGACATATCTTGACTCTGTTGTAAAAAATAATGAGAGACAATGTCTAATGCCTTCAGTGCTTCACTGTGTGTAACCCTGTGCGCTTGCAAACTTTCATCCTCTTCAGCATCACTAGTTTCTTCCGATTCTAAAGTCTTCGTGAGATCTATAATTTCTTGATCAATAAGCAATTCTTCCTTACTGCTCTCCTCAGAATAATTAATATAATCTTCAACTTCCATTGCATTCTGCAAGCAAAGAGCTTTAATATTCTCATGCAATTCATTTACTAACTGTTCATCGCTTGTAGAAAGATTCCCACAATCGTTACAATTATCTATCCCCACAGTCACAGGAAGAAGCTTAGTATGTCGAAAACAATTAAAGATAGTCATAGAAGTGACATTATTCCAGGCGTTTACAATGAACAGTATAGCAGTAAGAACATCCAGGTTTTTTTGATTAGTTCGAGACTCATATTGCTCCAAGAGCCACTTAACGAATTGAGAACGATAATGGCGTTTAAAAATGACATTATAATACCCGCGTCCATCGGCTGAATTCTGGAAGTCGTGTTCGGAGGTAGAAAACGTATAGTTGTATTTCGGAGTTCAACGG